CAGGGCCAACTCCCAGTGCGGGTGATAAATGTGAGCGACGACCCACTAATGTTAAAAGGCGGTATGAGAGTGGGCACGCTTTTCACTGATGTTGAGGTAGAAGACGAGCGGATAGATCGGGTGAATAAGGAGCAAGGCTCTCAGCCTTGGACAGTGGAATCTTTGATGACCCAGTTTAGAGTCGGTGAGAGAGGATTCACCCCTGCGGAAGTCGCAGCAGTTAGACAGCTGCTCCTACAAAATCTGTCTCTATTCAGTCAAGGGGATACAGACTTGGGAAGAACACAGATTATCTCGCATGAAATTGACACTGGGGAGGCTGCACCCATAAAAATGCACCCCCGAAGGATTCCACTTAATCTACAACAGGAAGTGACGGATAATTTGAGAGACATGTTGGCAAATGACATTATTCGCCCCTCATGTAGTCCGTGGGCTGCCCCTGTGGTTCTGGTTAAAAAGAAAGGGGGCGGATATAGATTTTGTGTGGACTACAGGAAACTGAATGATGTCACTAGAAAAGACGCTTATCCTCTTCCCCGAATCGATGATGCTTTGGATAGCTTGGTGCATGCCCAATGGTTTTCAACCTTAGACTTGGCTAGTGGTTATTAGCAGGTGGAAGTAGACCCTAGGGACCGGCATAAGACTGCTTTTATCACTCGCCAGGGACTGTTTGAATTTAATGTGCTAAGTTTTGGGCTGTGTAACGCCCCTGGTACATTTCAGCGCCTGATGGACCTGATTTTGGCTGATTTACAGTGGACTGTTTGTTTAGTTTACCTGGATGACATTATCGTGTTCGGGCGTGATTTCCAGGAGCATCTAGCACGTCTGGGCACGGTTTTGGAGAAGTTGAGGCAGTCTAATCAAAAAGTAAAGCCTTCTAAATGTGACCTTTTTTCTACACAGGTCCATTATCTAGGTCATGTGATTTCCGCTGAAGGCGTTAGGCCAGAACCAGCTAAAATAGAGGCAGTAAGAGAGTGGCCCATCCCAGCTAATCAGACAGAGATCCAGAGTTTTTTGGGCCTGGCGTCTTATTATAGACGGTTCGTGAAAGGCTTTGCGGACATTGCTCGCCCATTGCACCGGTTACAAAAAAAGAGGAAAACGCTTTCAGTGGAGTGAAGATTGTCAGGAGGCCTTTGAGAAACTTAAAACCTGTTTGATAACTGCTCCTGTATTGACCTACCCCGACCCCAAGAAATATTTTATTTTAGATACAGACACCAGCGAGGTGGGGATTGGGGCTGTATTATCACAGGTTGAAGGGGAAACAGAGCAGGTTATAGCTTATGCTAGTAGGGCTCTTACAAAGCAGGAACGCAAATATGCCACGACAAAGAAGGAGCTCTTGAGTCTGGTCACTTTTACTAAGCATTTTAAACATTATTTGTTGGGCAAAGAATTTGTGTTGAGGACAGACCACAACTCTCTACGATGGCTGCATAACTTCCAGGGTTTGGAGGGACAACTGGCTAGATGGGTAGAGCAGCTGGCCAATTTCCAATACAACATCATTCATCGGCCAGGTAGACAGCATAGTAATGCGGATGCCCTTTCCAGACTGCCAAATTGGAAACCAGAGAACTTAACAGCCGGCGAGGGAGCGCAGCCCTTGGGAGCTGAGTTGAGGGTGTGCTCGCTTCAAGAGGGAGGATCAGGAGCTGGCCGGATTTCGGAGATGGACGAACTCAGCCAGGCGCAACTAGATGATCCAGTGCTGAAGCGAATCAGGGATGCCAAACAGGGCATAGAGCGTATAGGCCCTGAGGACCCAGAACTAAAACCGTTTGCACCTGTGTGGGATCAACTCGAAATTCGGGGTTCCCAGTTGGTGCGTGTAGCACCAGCAAATTCTGATGCTGCGCAGGTGATCCAGGTTGTTTTGCCTTTGGCTCTGGTGCCAGGGGTCCTGAAGCAGTTACATAATGCCCCCACTGGAGGCCATCTGGGGGTTCAAAAACTGCAAGGCAAGATAAAAGACCGTTTCTATTGGCCCGATTGGTTTAAGGACGTAAGGGCTTGTGTTCGTGAGTGTGCGGACTGTGGCTCGGTTAAAATGCATGGAGGAACACCACGTGCACCTTTGGAGCATTCACTGACCTCTAGGCCCTTCAAGCGCATTGTCGTGGATATTTTGGGTCCACTTCCTGAAACTGGACTGAGAAATAAATACATCATGGTAGTAGGTGACTATTTCTCTAAATGGACAGAAGCCTTCCCACTCCCTAATCAAGAGGCTAAAACAATCGCGAGGGTGCTGACCGAGGAATGGCTGTGTCGGTTTGGGGTACCGCGGAGCCTCCATTCTGACCAGGGGAGGAATTTCGAGTCGAAACTGTTTCGAGAGCTATGTGAACTTTTGCAGATCCACAAAACGAGGACAACCCCCTATCACCCCCAGTCAGACGGATTAGTGGAGAGGTTTAATCGAACGTTGCTGACTATGTTGACCTTCTTTGTGGAAGACAATCAGCTTAACTGGGATGCCTTGCTGCCATATGTAATGCTGGCTTATAGAAGTAGTGTTCATGCTAGCACATCTGTCACACCTTATAAGGTTCTGTTTGGGCGGGAGATCGTACTGCCTGTTGATGTTATGTTGGGCCTGGATCAGGGAGAACTCTTTGCCTCAGTAGATGAGTATGTGACAGGTTTGCAGGAAGCCTTAACTACGGTGGTAGAGGCGGTGAAACGCCATCAGAGCAGAGCCGCGGCGCAACAAAAGAGGGCCTATGATTTTAGGGCCACCTGCCAGTTCTACTCAGAAGGTGAATTGGTGTGGGTCCGAAATAAGCTGAGGAGGCGAGGGGTGTGTCCCAAGCTGCAGAGACGATATAAAGGACCATTTAGGGTTCTTGAGCGACTGACAGATGTGCTATACAGGCTTTTACCCGTTGAGGGGGGTCCTGAGAAGGTGATTCATTTCAACCGACTTAAGCCGTGCACTTCTCTTTCAGCAGTTGCAGCACCGCTGGCTGTGGGGTCCCGAGAGCGAGCGAGGCAGAGTCTGTGTCAGCATGATGCCACCTGGGAGGACACCAGCAGGATTCATCATTGGTCTGCAGAGACGAGCAGGTCTGGCGACGCACGTGACCCGGCCCCATTGCATGGAGAGGCTGCTCGAGGGGGTGCTGCTGCAGGAGGACCGGAAGGACGTCTCCCTGGGGAGGTCGACGGACGTGGAGCTGCGGAAGAGCGGGTGGTTCATCAGTCGGATGCCACCTGGGAGGACATCAGCAGGAGTGCTCAACGGTTTCCGGAGACGAGGGGCTCCGGTGATTCAAGCAACCCTGCCCCATTGCAGGGAGAGGCTGCTCGGGGGGGTGCGATTGGAGGAGGATCGGGAGGACGTATCCCTGGGACGGTCGAGGGACCTGGAGCTGTGGAGCAACGCGTGGTTCGTCAGAGGAGGCCCCCTGCTTGGTATAAGGATTATCAGGTGGAAATCTAAGACTCGAGGGCGAGTCCTTCAGGACAAAGAGGGGGAGAGTGTGATGGACAGAAGACGGAAGCTGCCGGACTCTGAGGGCATGGTGACTGGACTCCAGCTGGTCCTCGTTATCCATAACGAGGCCAGGGAGGATAAAAAGGTGACAGGTCTACTGAGAAGTGTGCGTGGTCGACCTGTCATTGTGGCATCGGACTTTGGGGGGTGGGGTCGTTCGCAGTCGTTTAGGGCTGCCAGCGACGGAGATAGTTAAGCAGGTGTTTAGAGTTCCAGCGTCAGGAGGGAAGGCTGGTCGCCTTCTTTAGACAGCGAGGGCTGGGCATAGTGGATGTCAAGACCACGCTGACATCTGCCGCTACAGACTCTGGCAGTGGACTTACTTTGTGGATTTACCCGCCGTCCTCGCAAGCTACATCCCGGGGCGTTGGACGGCGTTGGAAGCTCAGACCCCGGGGAGGGGGGGGGTCACACCATCCGTGACAGCTAAGTATCGCTGCTTGTGTGTTTGTGCTGGACAGCTGATTTTAGGAGTGGAGACTTTGGCCACAGTGTTTTATTATAGTGTTTTATTATTGGGTTCTATTATTGTGTTTTAGTATATTGTATAATAAAGCGTATCCTTTTATAAGTTATTGCCTACTGGTGGTGTTTTCGGGTTCTGACTGGAGGGCCAGATATTCTGCCCGTGCTGCCCACTGCAACTTTCATTACAATACAACCAGATACATTTTCATGAGGGCTGATTTGGATGACTTTTGGTCATTTGCAAAACTTGATATATTTTATTTATTAAATACAAAATTTACTACCAAGTATAAGATACATTTGTTACTCAAGTTATATTTGTCCAATACTGAAATGTGTTAGCTGATCTGAAACTTTAAAGCAAAACCAGAATAAATCTGTCAGGAGGCAAATACTCTTTCCCAACATAGATTGTTTTGTTATTTGTGATTCACTGGGTCTCTGTGTTGAAAGAGGTCATCAGCAGGGTATTGACTGGGCTGAGGCACTTTATTTCCCTCATTTACACAGATGAGGACTCGGTCCCAGCCCACGTTTCCCCCGGTTTCCCCATTGTCTTAGAAGACATTGTGTTTTAATTCCCTGAGGACCAAAAACCCCAGACCCCATGCTCTATTTATGTCACTGGAGAAGTGGAAACAGGAGCTGCGAATAAAGCATGTAACCAGATGCCATAAAGGACACAACCGGCTGACAATCAAAACACAAATACTGAGCTTAAGGTCACCCAGAAAAAAAGTTCTTATCGTCTCACTTTATGATAAACACTCAAAATCCTGTTCGGAGTACAAAAACAACATAACACGTTTAGATTCAAACGGAACTAGTGTTTTTAAGCCATTTCTAACAGAAAATGTTGACTTTTTCAGAAGGTGTTAAGCTTGGAAGAAGCGAGGATGTGTGCTGGTAACAAAAGCTGCAGACAGCTACCGAGGAAGTTAACAAACTTTAAGATGCTAAGTCAAATAGCTAAATGACGTAACGGAGTATTTTTGAGTAATTAAAGTAGTTAAATTACCTCAGAGTCTGCAATTTGGAGCATTTTCAGTTCGGGGTGAATGTCTGAGTCGGACACCAGAGGAGAAAGGGGGTGTTGTGGTGCTTGGAGGACACCGGCTCCGTCAAAGTCCTTGACGCGTCGCCCGCCTGCTCCCTCCCAGCTGCCGTCACAAGATGCGTTCGTCCTCCGCAGGAAGTCACGCGGGGAAAGGACGTCGACACACGTACGTGACGTACACACCTCCGGACACACCTACAGCAACAGCCAATCACACCGCGCGGATCAGAACTCCACCCTCTACTGACTGGTTATTTTGGACGCTGCGGATTGAATGGAAACTGAGCTGAATCTGTAAAACACGTCACTTATCACGAGGACCGACTAATCATTAATGTTTTGGTCTCCTTTAAAACACATGTTTAATCATATCTTTGCTGCTTCTTGCCATGACCACGTCAATGGTATTTACCTGAGTTATCTCCACAAAAACAACATACCGAGCATATCTTATCATTGAAAAGTGAGTCACATTGTATTTTCTTTGTCTTCATCACCGATATGTCAGTACTTTTATAACTAAATTCTTCATAACTTTGTACTTGTAAAATAGATTTGGCAAAAAGTGCCACAAATCCTGAATCACCACTCACCTCATGTCTGGCGCCATCTACTGTAATTAGATGAATGGCAGGTGACCAATATTTCTCCCCTGGTGTCTTCCACCATTAGATACTAAGGTTGCTGCTCCATTCATCTGTGATCCAGCCATTCGTCCTTTTAATAAAAATATCTGATTTGAATTTTTTTTGGAAAAAGTGATCATTCCACAAGATTTGATCCTTGATTTGAATTCTTATTAGTTGTTTTTTTTTACCCAAAGAGGTTTGAATGAAGGCAACTGGACTTCTTTGGTTTCTTGAAGACGTTTTGCTTCTCATCTGGGAAGCTTTGTCAACCTTGTCTCATCCAAGGAGCTTTAAGTTTGTGTCCATTGACGGCTTCAAGAAACCAAAGAAGTCCAGTTGCCTTCATTTGAAGCCCCTTGGATTACCATGACCTGGATGACTGAGATCCTTCACCAGCATGTTTATAAAACTACTTAATTTTGTGTTGGCCAGATCGTCGTCGTAAATGAGACTGAGTTCTCAATAGACTCATCTGGTTAAATAAAGTGTTGAGTTACTGTCACACATGCTCTACAAAAACCTTTCAAAACAGATTAAAATAAGCTTTAGCGTTCTATTAGATTATTTACTGTATATTAAATTAAATAAAGGGATAAATTAATCAGCATTTCAAAGGGAAAATTCCAATAATTGAGTTTATTGTTACACTCAAATAAAAAAAGAGCCTCCACTCTTCACTTTGACAATATTTCTCATCCAGTGTTTATTTTAACTGAGGATAAACAAGTATGGCATGGTGCAGAAATCTATCAAATTATTTTCATGAAAAATCTATATAAATAGCAGCACTTACCCTTTAAGCAATTAGAAAAAACAGTAGACAGTTCTGTGTCAGGCTTGTTACAGAGATTTTCCTGGTTGTTTGCGTCTGTGATGTATTGCTGCCCTCCAGGGAAGGCAGTAGGTTGTATAGTTAGCTCCTGATGGGGTAAAATCACAACCCTGAAACCACACAACCTACTACCTCACCCTGTACGAACACCATGAGTCACTGCAGGGTGTCGACACAAGTCGTGGAGCTAAACAGGCATTTGGAATTAATCCATGAAGAAAATTAAAACTGCTTCATTATTACAAAAGACAGATAGTTCCTGTGGTACACGTCCTTTAAAGCTCACAGAACAGTGTCAACAATTAGAACAAAAACACAAAAACATTCTTAAATTTTCACTAAAAGCCACTCAATGAGTGGTGACAAAGATTTAGCAAACAAATAACCCTGAAAACAGTCAACGTCGCATGGACATGCAGATCATGTCTATATTGAGTCCGTTGGTCCAGACCACGTCTGGAGGACGTCCAAACCAGCTCTTGGCACAGTGTTTAAAACATAAATGTCAACAATCACATTAAAGCACGAAAACTACCAAAGTAGGCTTAAAAAAACTTATCAAGGATTGCTTCCTGGACTCAACATAAGTTTGTTTGAGGTGCTCGTTGGATGGGAAAATTCAGTAGAAAAAAGCAAGAGGAACTCCAAGGCACTCTCAGGTTAGTTAAAAAGCCTTTATTACAATAAAGGCTTTTTAACGTTTTCTATTTGAGAGTGCCTTGGAGTTCGTCTTGCATATTTCTACCTTAGTAGGCTATGCCACTGCTGACTTCTGCTCAGAAACATTTATTTAAATAAAACAAACATGAGAGTTGTTTCTCCTTTTGGGAAAACAATGGTGATGATGATGATGAGGAGGAGGAGGAGGAGGAGGATGCTATCACGGTCACTTCAGGAAAGACAGTAAGTTGTATAGTCATCTGACAGCTTGGGAATGACCCTAAAACTATACAACCTACTACCTCACCCCAAAGGACAGTATATCTGCTGCAGCTGACCTTTGACCTGTGGAAAATTAAAACAAACATTCAAATTTAAACAGCATAATGACGATGTTGAGTTACCCTAAAGTAAAATAATAATAGTAAAACAGCTACAGAACATTTTCAGTAAACATGAACCTGATTTTTTTAATATTTTGATTTTGAGGTGAGAACAAAATCAGAGTTTGGTATTTATGTTTTTTTTTAAGCAGCCAATATTTCCTACGTGTCACTGAGTCATTTCACTTCCCCTCTGTGGTGTCGAGTCTGTGCGCTCCATCAGCTCGCCTCTTCCGAAGGTTCCTTCTGAACGACTGGAGGAGAGAGAGAGATAGAGAGAGGTGCTGTCAGAGGTCCGCCTCTTATCTGACACTTGAGCCCGTTGATGTGCAAGCTCACACAAGTCATGAGTTCAGAGAGCAACACTCGCTGCTATTTTAGGAGTTACACAGAAAGTGATTAAATTCACATGCCTGAGTTATTAATGTTCATCCTGTCAACATGGATAACAATTAAATCCTCTGAACTGGTAAAAAAACAAAACAATCTCATTCAATCCACTATTTGCTTCTGAGCTCTATTCCAAGAAACGATGAGGCAAAGAGGATGCACGTGTGTGTGTGTGTGTGTGTGTGTGTGTGTGTGTGTGTGTGTGTGTGTGTGTGTGTGTGTGTGTGTGTGTGTGTGTGTGAAGGTCACGTAGGACGGTTGTAGGGGTTCTGGGAGTTTCCTGAGAGAGACGAGGGAGGCTGAGGTTTCCCCTCGAGTCAGAGCGCGATGGGGGACCGAGGTAGGATCCGAGTCATAAAAGTGAGTCACTGCAACTCCTACTGTGTGAATCAGGTCACGGCTGTTTTAATGTCAGGTTGGTTATTCCATAAATACCCACAGATCTCAGTGTGAGCCACTTAATGTCCGAGTGTGAGAGGGGAGCGGCGGAGCAGACGGGGTGTAGCTTAGGCGTCACACGTGAGCTTTTTACACAAAATAAAAGGTAAATCACAAAAAAACCTGATTTCTATCTTTAGTCAACAATGTACACAAAGAACCAAATCCCACATTTAAAAGCCTAAAAGGTGTGATCTAAAAACAACTTTAATCACAAAAAATGTCCATTTAACTGTTAGAAGACTTTGTTTTTTTAATAATGTGTAGAAGTTCACATTTAAAGTTGTTTGTTTGTGCAATAAAATAAACAGTTTTACTCACATACTTCTACTGTGGATATCTTCAACTTTTGAAACTGGTGCAAAAATGAGATTTTGTTTCATGTTTAAACTGATTCACAATTAAAATGTTTACTTTAGAAAATATGTTCTGTATTTTTATGGTTATAAATACCACCTAAACGAAGTAAAGATGAGTAAGTCTGCCACTCTACAGTCGTTTTTCTCCTTTTTTGAGACATTATGAATTGTAAAATATTCCGGTTGATCCCGTTTAGTGATCTATCATCATCTGGCTACTGGACTGGAATTAGACCCTAAAATCTGTAAATTTATTTAATAAACAATTGTCTCATTTTGTTGTTTGTTTTTAAGTTAAATTTCATCACAATTACACTATCACCTCACTAAACAGCATCAAATAAAGAGAACGACATGAGGGGAAGGTTTGTGACTCTGACACAAACCAGAGTTAGATCATCGTTTTTGGCCAGCAAATAAAAACCTAATTTGAGAATTGTTCAAATGGATTTAAAAGCTCTGATGTGAAATGCTGCTACTTGTAGTTGACTTGAACCACCAACAGGTGTCAGGTCTCCCCAGGCATGCAGGGAAAAGTGTGAGGAGAGCTGCAGGCTCCCATGACAATGAGGCCTTTGTGCAGTTCCGGGGTGCCAGCCGGTGTGCCCTCGTGTACGGTTTCCCCTCTAATCTTCATTTGACCTTTAGGCTGATGGCTTTTCTTTACCCCCTTTTTTCTGGACTGGTTTTTTTGAGGCTATCTTGCATGATCCCCACGAGACGCTCAAGCTGCTGTTTGTTTGGATGCATCACTCGCAGGATCGCTCGTGTGCTGAGAGTCATTTAAAAAACTAAGCACAAATTAGAAATAGTGCTGCGTGTCTGTGGGCAGCTCGTTTAGTCCAACCAATTTATCTCCTGTGAAAATACACACACACACACACACACACACTAACACACACTCGCTCGAGCGCACACATACAACAGTTAATGCCTCAGAAGAGACATGAAGTTATCTACCTTTGAAAAAGCAATAAACTAAAAATAAGGTAAAACTGAAGCAGATTAATTAAGCCATTCCTAAACAACCCTGTGAATTGAAGAGAGAAACACACATATGTATGATCTGCGCACACGCACACACACACACACATCATGGTGCGTATGTAGAAGTCGGGTCATAAAGCTGCCAAGCAGCTACTTGAGTGTGTCATTAAGGCTGATGTTACGTATGTTACAATGATCATGACTCAAGAGAGCTGCAGCTGCATTTAGCCTGGATGGCTTTTTCACACACACGCACACACACACACACACACACACACACACACGCACACACACACACACACACACACACACACACACACACACACACACACACACACACTAGTGTTAAAGAGACTCAAATATATCTTTCTAAAAAAAAGTGACTTGTGGGTTTTAAGACTGCCAGGTTAAGGTGGATTTTGTCGTTAGCTCTCTCTCCTTTATAGTGTGGTTTGTTGTTAAAAAGCTTAATGTTTAACAGATTGGCATTTTTTATTTTAACTAAAAAACTGAACTAACAATCAAATATATATATTTTTACTGATATGTTCTGGTGAGTTTATCAGTTTGTTAAACAAATAAAATTATGAGCAAGTTTTTATAATCATACACAAACAAAAGTTACATTGTTGTTTAGCATATTTAAAAAAATTGTATTCTTAATTATAACTAGATTTAGAAAAAATGAATAAAAAAGACAAATGCTTAAAAAATCTCTAAAATAAAAAAACTAAAATAATAGCAAAACCAAAATATAAAAAAATATTTCTTTAATATTTATAATAGGCTTTTGAAGTTTCAACCAATGTGTTTAGATGAAAGCCGACAAACCCGACAAATTTTACGTTAACAAAAATTAAGAAAATAAAACAACACTCTCCCATTAAAAATATCTGTAAAACAATAAAAAATGTAATTACAGAAAAATGTTCTCATCATCTTCACTATGCATGCACACACACACACACATACACACACACACACACTGACACACACACAGATAAACTAGCATGTATATAGAAGGTAAAACACTCTTAATGTACACTGTGCATCATGTCCTCTGATTCTCTTCATAACAAATTAAAAGTGCCCCCCCCCCCCCCCCCCCCGACTAACAAAGATACTGTGTGTGCCTCCATCGCTAAAACTCACACGCACACTTCATAAGGACTAGCCATACAGCTCAAGTGTGTGTTCAAAAATCAGCCATTATACATTTCTATGTGTATGAGCCACTGCATCATACTCAAATGCACCTGTCTGTCTGTCTCTGTGTGTGTGTGTGTGTGTGTGTGTGTGTGTGTTTAAAGACTGTGAGGCCCTGTGTAGTGTATGAACTGTGCATGTGTGTGAATGCTGAAAGGAGGAGGCTGTGCCCTTCACTCCTTAGGAGAGGCGTGGGAACCCCATTCATCTCAAGAGCCTGGGTTCATTGTGGGGTACATCGCATCAAATGTGTCTGGGTATTTGCTTCAGTGTGTGTGTGTGTGTGTGTGTGTGTGTGCGTGCGTGTGTGTGAAACAAAGTCCTGTGTGTCTGCTGCAAGGTGATGGTCTTTGTTTTGTTGATGTCCTGTGAGGGTGAAGTGTTTCCAAACCCAACCTGTAAATCAGGCGCGCCACATAAATCGACAACAACTTGGACACAAATAAATCTGATTTGTTTCGATAAAATATTTTTGTGGTCCTGCCAATGTTTTGAGGAAATACACTGTGAGACATTCTGATATCAATCGCAGTAAAAACAAACTCATTTTAGGCTTTCGTGTTCCAAAAATGTTCCAAGTTTGGAGGAAATCACCTGGAAATAATCTGTTAAATCAATCAGTGAATTTAAAATGACAAAAATGTCATTAAAGCATCTTTTATTTCATTTTGACCAGATTATGAATTCAGATACAAAACAGTAACTCTAGTTAATACTATCCCCTTTTCCTTTGTGAATCTCTAATAATGACCGTCTCCCTTGTCCAAACACCTGACTTAACTCCTAATTTTGAAGAAACTTGGGTCCATTAAAGGGGGAGCGACATCAGGGCTTCTTGTGAGGGAGACAGTGATGAAGTAGCCTGTGCCTGGCCCCTTTACAGTGAGAGTGGCAGATGAATAGGCCTGTCAAACGTAGGACGTAGGTGGGATGACTAGTTATCTGTGATGACTCACGCTGCCTCCACTCCTACTGTTTGGTCATGGTCGACACTGATTCGCAGAGGATTTCAACATGAAACCATAACGACAGCCTGACATGGATAAAAATCAAGGATTTTCAATTAGTGATGGCTGAAAATCTGATTTATGGGTTATAATTAAAAGACGCCATGCTGAATGGCATTGATGAGGGGGTGTGGCGCTTTTCACTTTTTTAATTATATGGAAAATCTCAGATGATGCAGACAAAATTAAAGCTGATGTTGGTCTTGTGGGATCAAGCAGGTCTGCCTAAAATATTTCACCATTTTTTATTTGATCAAAGCTTCATTTCAGCACCAAACTAATTCTTCGTATTTAGCTTCAGTTGCTTATGTTAGCCAGCGTCTGAGCCAAAGTGGTTATCCGTGCTCTCTGTGTGAGGAACACTTCAGAAGAACGGCAGGATTTTTAATAAAAGCGTAATAAACGGTACGTCTAATGGGCCTGCTCTGGCTTTATTAAAACTCAGCGGAGCCACGTGTCAGCGCTGACCCATTTTTAAATGTTTCACCTCCCATTACAAATGAAAGCCTCAAGAATTCCAGCTAAGATAAGCGTTTATTGAGAAACATTAATAGCGGTTACTAGTTTTGATAACAGAACAGCATTAGAGATTAGAAAGAGGCACATTGAGGAACTCGGTCCCATGTTGCAGGCCTAGTCTGGCCCTCAGCCCAGCATTACTAGTCCTCCTCTGCTGCCTCCAAAACGGCCTCTTTCAGTCACACAAAAGGCTGGTCAGGAGAGCAGAACCTCCGGTTGGAAACACCCAGAGGATAAGATTGACGCTTTGTCGAAATGTCGCCTTTCTCCTGGTTTGCGTACATTTTTTTGTCTCCGCAGATAAAAAAAATCCACCAGGTCAAAATTCAGTTTGCCAAAGGAAATCTCTGCGTGTGTTCATGCTTCTCATAGGTACAGAATGCACACACATCCTTAACTCAACACCCACTCACATGTTCTCTGACTTACCCACTTTGAAGCAGCTGGGAGACCCCACGGAGCCCAGCGATCCCAGGTAAATGACCAAAATCGTCACCATTTACTGTACCGGACTCATCAGAAGCTGCATGCCCAAATATCCTTCCTGTAGAGAAGGGCAAAGAGATGAAGCTCGGCTTCAGTCACACAGCTCTGCACTCGCTGCAAGGAGTAGGCGGGCACGCCAACGACAGACCAATTCAGTGTCCCGCAAAGTATCGGCCTTCCTGTCTGCCTCAGATCCCTTTTCCTACATCTGTCTCCCATCTCTTCACAGATACTCTGACATTCCTAACCAGCCTCCGTGCTTTAGGATCCCCTCCCAAACCTAAGCTAACATACAAACCAGCTCATCCTGCCTGTCCTCCAGCTCCGGATCGGAGACTGTCAGGACCCGCTACAATGGGGAGGCCATGTGGGTTTCCTATGGAGTCGCGTGCTCCTCCCGTCTGGCGGTTAACAAGGCTTTGAATGAGGAATGTTAGCAAACAGAACTGCTGAATGTCGGATGAATGCTACGCTAGGCAGCCAGTCAGATCACAGCTCGAGCCCGGGCATATGAATAATGGAGAAGAGGCGGCCGGGAGGAGAGGAGGCATGGCTCCTCCTCTTCCTCCCTCTGCCCCTTCCTGACTCCACCTGCCCCTCCTCTTATCCCCGCTCAAAACTCAAATGCCTTCATGGAAGCAGGGGGGGGGGGGGGCAGAATTTAGGATCTGTGCTGCTCACTCATGCAATTAAAAAGTCATGCAAGAGGAGATTAGATACACACGCACTTCTGTTATTACTACAGATCACATCTCTAAAACAAGACATTTTCATCCCCCATAGCTTGAAACTCTGCGTTTTTGGGGCTTTTGTGTCTTTTGTTAGTAATTGGCACTTGTCCTAGAAAAAGCCTGATCACTGCTCCACCCTCCAGCTCCCCTTTCACTCGAGACTGCCCACGAGAGGCAGAGGGAGCGTGAGGAAAAGAGGGTGGGGCAGAGAACCCGAGAGAAGGGCAGGTTTCCACAGATGGAAGGTGGAGGGCGAAGCAGATAAGAGCACATAGAGAAATCATACGAGGAATTTGAGATAAGGATTTCCAGAAAAAAAATCAAATGTAACATTCCTTCGTCCTCGGCTTCAGGGAGAAAAGGAGGCAAGAAACACGTGCTCAGAAAAGGAAGGAAGCACATCTTCATGTCCAGATTTCATCTGTGAATCCAGAAGGAGGAAAAAAATTGAAGCAAACGTGTGTGAAAACACACAGCTTCTGAAAAATCTCTTCATGAATGCTTCAGCCATGTAGTAGAAGGGTTTAGAGCAGAGCCACTTGTTGCATGATAGTGAAGAACGGATCTTGCAGAGAGGAGTGAGAGCAGGCAGAGGGTTAAAATCCTCGAACTGGGACTAGGGAAAAATCCCTCCCTCTTTTGGAACAGACGAGCTAAAGGGGAGGGCCCGCCTGTAGAAATAGCAGCAGAGCCTTTTTCCCCTCGCTTTTTTTCCTTCGTTCAGAGCTGAAGCCTCTCGCATGTGGCTGAGACCCAGGGAGAGAAGAGGAGAGAGATGGATAGAAGGAAAAGGAGGAAGAGTGAAGAGAGAGGCAGAGGGGAGGGAGCCAGAGAGGGAGGGGACGAGAGCTATGAGTGGAGGAAAAGGAGCTCAGCTGATGATGAAACAGGGACATGTGGGAGTGTACGTACACGTTATCATCGCAACGTACGTGTGCACGAGGCAGGGCGGGGAGAGTGTGTGTGTGTGTGTGTGTGTGTGTGGGGGGGGGGGGGGGGGGGTCGTCATAGCAGAAGCACACAAACTCACAAATGATTAAAGGATTTTGGCACAACTTGCAGCACCTAACTTTGAGACTGGAGGGAAAGATTAACAAAGAGTATTCTCTCACTGCTGCTGTCGAAGTCTGGCTTTCTGTCTCTACTTTGATATAAACCTCCTTGATCAGTGAACTTTCCAGCAGCAAGGACGCCGCGGCGTTCCCCTCGAAGGCCAAAGAAAACCTCAGTGATGCTCTTCGTCCTCAATCACAGCCTCGTTAATGAGCTACACTAATTTGGCACACAGTCAAACACAGATAAGCACCTGGGTGCGACCGCCGCCATATTTGCAACAGTGAGCCGTAGCTGTAAAAGCCCTGTAATATGTACCGCAGTGCGGCCCGGCTCGGCCCAGCCCGGCTCCAGCTGAAACCGGGCCGCCCTCGCTCTACTCCAGCTGCCGAGCTGCTCTGCGCCTGAACGGTGAGAGAAGAAATGTCGGGCGGTAAGCGAACGATAAAATGGACTCTGCCGATGACTCGGCTCTTGTCCCTCACCCCACCCCCACTCACCCTTCCTCCCCCTCGGCGTCCAGCCTGTTCTGTCTCCCACCCTTTCTTGTCCTCCCAATAGCTCTGTTCCAGGGACCAGTAGCTCTGCTGTGAGGAGCGAGGCTTCATTTAAACCTGCACAAGGAGGACGGTTTGGATATTTTTGTGCCAGATACCCCCACCCCTCCCCCCTGGGACCAAAACCACCTACCATCCTCTGCATCAGCATACTGATGGTTACTCACACCAATCCACCCCCCTCCTAAAAAACTTCTGTGTCCAAATGCTGTAATGCCCTGTAACTGCAACTGATTCCCCCATGGCACCACAAAAAAAAAACGACAACTTCCTCTCTTTTGGAAGCAATTCCCCTCCCCTGCAGTCATCTCTTCCCCAAAAGAAACCAGAACTCAGCACAGGCACATTTTTTTCCTCTCCTCTCACTGAAGAAGCAGGCGTACAAAAGAGAAAAGGGGAAAAGGGAAAACTGTCCCACAGAATGACGGACCTCACATCTTAGAGCAATTCTAACCAGATTTCGATCTGTCCCTCCAAATTAAAAACCCTGGGACGGTATGCACGTACTGAAAGAAATCCATTGACTTTGCCCGGTTTTCACCAGAGGAGAGTAGAGAAGAGCAGAAGGAGTCTGAGCAACTGAACAGCAAACTAATATGGCTGCTTCCTTTTCTCAGAGTTGTGGAGGCTGCTGCGTGTGCGCTCCTACCTCACAGGACAGACTGGGAGAGAGAAAGAGGGCGCTTTTCTTGCCATCTCTTTTTTCGGCTTTCCACAGTCTCAGACACGACTCGGCATCCATGTTTTAGGTGGACTGCTTCACCTTTGTCATCATAAGGAACGGATTTTAAACCAGATAAACGGGGTGAGATGAATCCCAGGGCTTATTATGGGGACACTGATGATTTCTGTTTTATTTATCAGTTTATAAATGTACTCAAATCCCCGATGGGAAAAATGGGTCAAGCACCAAACAGCCAACAGCTTGAACTCTGTGACGTCACATCTCGCCACGTTCACTAGCCAATTGTAATGGCTGCACACACAAAACGCCGCTACAACTGCACGCTGCATATAAATCCAACAATAAAGTAAACAAGTGCATGTTTCATCTGCCATCCTGCTGAGCTCCTCGGCTCCTCGTCCTCTATCTTAGACACTCTTTCTGCGAGTCAGTTGTTTACCGTCGAACATGTGGCAGGAATTCAAAAAACTTGGCAGAGCCTGTTGCAGCGAGTTCATTTGAGGATACGGCTCTGGTTTTGGCTCAGCTGCCAACTTCTGACACTGAAGCCCTCAGCTCGGCCTCGCCCTTGCAGGAGCGGCCGACGTAAAGCTGCCATTGATGAAACTCCAATATTAACAACCGACAACAACCGCCGTTTCTATCAGCCCAGTCCTCTTCCAGGTTACCGCCAAGCTGTGCTCAATGACACAGATTTGTAAACCTTCCCCCCCAAAAAAAGAAAAGAAAAACGAGGTGAGGAAAGACGGGACAAAGATTTTAAGCTTTAACAATCTTTTAAATTTGCAAGAATTAAAGAATCTAGAGGGGGTTAAAAGGATGAGTTTGTAAAACAGACGGCCAGTGTAGCACAGAGGCAACACGGCAATGAAAGACTCACTTCCAATTAATTGTAACTCACTCCTGCAAAGAAACAGAGAAGTTTGATCAGAGGTCTTATGGATCGCCCCCCCCCCATGCTGTCAGATCTTTATGAGTCATCCCACAAATCCACCACTACAACCAAAATCACACTTTCTGCTCCCAGAGGTCAGGAAACTGTCACAAGCAGGCGTTTTCTAGGAATGTGATTTAAACAAATATATAACATTACAGAAATGCAGAAAAAAATAAAGTTACAAAAATGAAATAAACTGCAGCAGAAGATAAATAAAACAGAATGAGATCTTTAAATTTAGTTAAAAAGAACTTTATTCTGATCTAATTTTTAGGGGAAAAAATGTTTTATGAGCATTATTGAACTTTTCTACAAAAGGAGAACATCCGGGAAGAACCTGGATGTTGTGGAAGGACTTTGAAGGAATGTCAGTAAAAACACACACGGGCCTTGGTGAGGGACACACAACTTACTGCAAAAACACCAAAGTCCAAATCTTCATTTCATTTAACCAGATGAATGAGATAAACGCCTTGTTTTCATAGGCGACCTGGCCGAGTCTATCACTACATACTCGGACTGTGTTGTAAACTTGCAGGTTAAACCATCTATACATTAACACCCTCATACACACACAAACACACACACACACACCCTTATTCCGGTGACTGCTGCGGCGTTCTGACTCCGTCTATGAGGTGGTCTGCTGCAGGGCCTCTCAGCAGCACGCGCCTCGACAGCTTCTCTTTTACGGATGTGACCCTAAAGGTCGTGTTCTGAAGAGCTGTGAACAAAGGCCATGACCCCGAGGTCAGAAGTGTAACGCCAGGGGCAGGCTGGGGCCCCACGGCAAAAGGAGCATGCTGTTTGCTTTGAAAGGTAAGGATCACTAACACAGAAGCCTAATAAGGATTAAGGGGCCATCCCCTTTGGGATGTCACCCTGGGGCCCCATACATCAGTCTCTATTAACCTGTGTGACCCCAGCAGCCATTAAAGGGCCACGGGTCACAGTCGCTCGCGCTGCAGAGGTGTAAAACCAAACATCACAGACTAATTCTGACTGGAGTGCTGCTGAGGACCAGCCGTTTGAAGAGATAAGCACCTTGTCAATCTGGCCTCAGCCCTCTCCACGAGAGGTTCTTCCCCTTCAGTCAGAGGTTTTCAACTTTAGGAAAGAAGCTTCGAGGATTTAAAGCAACAAAATGTTTATCATAAAAGTAAAGAGGTGGAGGAAAAAGTTAAAACATTCTGAAAGTACACATAACATATAATTTAGAGTGATATTTTCAAACTAAAAGGTGTATAAGAGTAAATAACAAAAAGAAAAACTAATTAAATCACAAAATGGAGGACAGACAGAGACAAGATGGCGACCTGAGTGAGTGAACCGAATCCACAATAATAATCTGGCCGACTGCCATAAGTTTTTTTAAAAAGTGTTCATTTTCATGCCGTGTTAAAAAAAATTTAACAGGATAAAAATAATTTTTACAAGTTTCGGATTCTTCAGGTTGCCTTTAGAGTCGACAGACAGAAGTTAACCCTCCCAACTTTTTTTTTTTATCAGTTTAGATTTAAAAATCTGACAAGACAACAGACAAGTGGATATTTTAGATGACTAAAAATGAATAAAGATTTTATTTCTTTTATAAAAGGAACAGAAAATAAACCCAAATCTTTAACATGATATATTTAATATACATTAAATGTTAATGAAATTATTAAATAACAAATGTGATCTACGTTTCTATTTTTTATATGAAAAGCGATTTAAAAAGACAAGGATTTAAAAGCAGATGAGTGTTTTATGTGAGTCTGAACAGTCACTCATGTACTGGTTTTATATTCCTGCTCTAGCTTAAGTTTACACCAAATAAGAATTTATTCATTAAAAATGGGGAATTCAAGAAAAAAAAATTACTTGCTACATTTTTTATATTTAAACAAGAAATGAAAAAAATGCATAAATAAAACTTTTCCTTCCTCAAACACAACTTTGGAATAAGAACAAACTTATTTAGAAAATCTTTTGGCATCTTTTAATGATAAGTTTGAGAATGTTTTTCGTTTTTATATTTTATACTGCTGATCATTTTACAGTTATTTTAAACTTTAATCATTTTTATCTAATGAAATTAACTGTAGAAAGATGATAAAACACAAAATGTAAGCATTTTGAAAAAGCTATTTGTTCTTTGTGCTAATTTAGAAATGTACTAGACAGTTGAAACATAAATTACACCAATTAGTATTTTTTAATCTGTGCTTTTATTAAGTACATTTAGAAGGCTGGTATTCAGGAAGTCACAAACACTTCTGTTGTGAATCTATCACACTGATGTAAAAACTAAAATTATAAATGAGTAGTCTGATTTAAGTAGACACAAATGTGGTCAATTTTCTTGTAGGGTCCAATCTTTTAGACATTTACAATGTGTACAATTTTCCTACAGTACATTCATACTTTGTGTTTTATTAACAGAAGCTTAAATTATCGGTTTTTACAGCTTTTGTTTATCGTTTTATAATATAAAAGCAAATGCAGAAATTATTTTCAAAATCACAGTGATAAAACTTGACTGGGTGATGTTTTCCCGTTTCTTGAGGACACAGACTGATGATGCATTTCTCTGACAATCATTAAGCCACTCACCTCTGAAAGCCGAGCCTCTCCATGTGGAGGGAGTCGACCCGGCAGCTCTGCAGAGCAAAGGTTGGAACAGAAAGGAGACGCGGCACGGACCTGTGCTTCATACAAAGTCTTATAAACGTCTTTTA